ATATCATGTCAGATGTGAGTGCGGTGGAATAAAATAAGAAAGGCTAAGGATTGAGATGGGGGTGAGGGACTCTTTCATATGAGATGGTCATAGAAGATCTCAATGAGAGAGTGAAATTTGCCCCCAAGGAAATGTGAGAAAGAACACAGAATAAATCTATGGGAGTGGGGAGATCTTTTCACTAGGAAATAGTTACATTTGGTAAATGTGAGGTTGGTGAAGATTTGCAAATGGTTGGACTTTTTTCTGTGGGGTTGCAGTTTGTTTTTAAAACTTATTTGCATAGTTCTACTTTAGAAGATTATTATTATAGCTGGGTAAAATCAGCTTATTATCAAATACTAGAGCCCAGTGCACACGATTTATGCACAGGGGCGGGGAAGGGGGGTCCCTCAGTCTGGTCTGTGCCGTCTCGTAATCCAGGACCCGTTGGGGGATTTCTGCCTGCCTCCTTAGGCCAGATCCCACTGGGAATCAGGCCTGAACTGGCAGTCAGACATCACTCTCACAGTTCAGGACCCCTTGCTCCTTACCTCCCGCAGAGGTAGGAGAGACTCCCATCACCATCACCACCACTTTATTCACCAGCCAGAAGCCAGACTCACTGCTCCTTAGCACTGCCTTGGAGGAGGGAGGGAGAGGCTCCCACCACCACTGCTGCACTCTCCAGCCATGAGCCTGGCTCAGGGCTCTGGCTGAGCGGTGCTCCCCCTGTGGGAGTGCACTGACCATAAGGAGGCTGCTCCTGCATTGAGCATCTGTCCCCTGGTGGCCAGTGTGCATCATAGCGATCGGTCGATCTGCTGTGTGGTTGATTTTCCTATTAGCCTTTTATTATATAGAACTAGTAGCCCCGCACACGAATCTGTGCACCAGTAACTCTCTGCTGCCCTCCAGTAGCTCTCTGCCTGCTGCCCTGCCCTCCTGTAGCTCCCTCTGCCCCCCAGCCCCTCTTCATAGCTGCTGCCTTGCCCCCTCCTGTAGCTCTCCATTGCCCATTGTAGCTCACTGCCCCACCCTCATAGCTGATCTGTGATTTGGTCATTATGCAGTTGGTCATTGTGCTTCACGGCATAACGACCATATGCATATTACATCTTTATTATATAGGATAGTACCAAGTTCAAACATTCCAAAAAGCATTGCTCATCTCTTCCACTGAGAGAAAAGCTATACATCTTCACATAGCAGGTTATAAAAATATTGCTGATGGTAAGTGGAACTACCTGGAGTACACAATGGCCTACCTTTACTATAAAATACTCCCTTTGTTTCAGCGTCAGCTATGAAATTCTAATTATAGCCTTAAACCTTTAATTTGGATTATCTGAGTAGATGTAAAAATGTCCAGCACTGTACACAATTACTTCTAACATGTCAACTTTTGTTTTATTTTTTTTGTTAAGAATTAATGAAACTCAACAATTGGCCAGCAGTCTTTTGAGGCAGAAAGTAGAAAAGTATTCTTAACCAAAACAATGAAATCATTTTTTTTGGCATTAGAATCATGTTGCTTTTTATTCAGATAAATTTTTTTTCTTGGAAAATAAATTCATACTTTGGATTTAATACTACTACAAATATTAGTAAGTTAGCTATAATTAAGCATTCTTTCAACCAGTTGGTTCCTAAAACAATAAAGGTAAACTTATCTATAAATTTAGACACCCCCCCCCCAAAAAAAAAAATAGAATAAAACCAAGTAATGCTCTCATGTTAAAGGCTTTTTTAAAAAAACAAAATCAATAATTCTGCTCCTTGAAAAAAACAACAAAATAAGCAGCTGTGCCCAGCCAGTGTGGGCTAGTTGGTTGAGTGTTCTCCAAGAGGTCACTGGTTCGATTCCAGGTCAGGGCATATGCCTGGGTTGAGGGGGGGTCCATCCCCAGTGGGGGGCATCCATGAGGCTGCCCATGTTTCTCTTTGGCAGATGTTTTTCTCTCTCTCCCTTTCTCTTTTCTCGCACTAAAATAAATAAAAACACTAAAAAAAAATGAGCTGTACTATGTAATGTAAAATATTCTTTCTGTTGCTAACTTCTAATAAGAAAGCTTGGGGTGGTTATGTCTTTATTTAAGAAGAGCATAATTTAAAACTGGGCATTTAGAAAGTAGAAATCTGAGTTTCTTCATTGAATTTGTTTTCAACTTAAGGAATCTTGAGAGCTTAGTGATATCCACTGGAAGGCAAGAACTTGGTTCTGGCAGAAAAGCCACCACACATGGCTTGTAAGTATCTGTACTTAACCTCTGTGCCTAGGTTTCTCCAGCTGTCAAGTAGGAATAGTAGTAATTGCTACCTTCTGTGTGAAGTAGAGTGTGGTTTGACATCTCTGGCTGAAGATGCTATATCAACACAAATTATTATTATTAGAACATAATGCTTATAAATTCATAAAACACCAGCATGGTGCTCTTTTAATGCTTACATAACATCTATGACTACTACTTTTCCAAACTCTTCACTTTGAGTCAGAGGAAAGCATAACCATAGCATGCCACTAATCCCATTTTTCAAAACACGGAGGATATATAGTTTTAAAGCTCCATATCATCCTGTTGAGAAGACTAAACCAGCTAATCCCTCATGGTCACTGTAGTAATTGCACATTAACCACTTGGCACCTTTTTAAATGTTGGCTAAATTACTTTTCCTGGAGACTGGAATTATCAGGGAAAGACTGCAGGTTGGGTGGCTAGTGATAAAAATTTTTGTTATTTACTGAGTATCTTCAACTGTTAAAGTGCTATCTAAACAGATAATTCTCTAGTCTCTTTGCAGTGGGCTCTGTCTAAATTTAGCAGTGAATTTTGGTTGAGGGAATGCGAAAATAGAAAATAAATTTTCTCAAGGGAAACTGTGGTGTCAGCAGAGCTTAGGTATGTCACAATAGCTATTTTTCGTCAGTTCTGATCATCATCATCAGGGGATCTCCCAGAGCAAATGCAGGACGAGTTTTAGTCCTAATGCATCCTGAGGCTGTGATGGGAAGGAGTGGCTGCTGGAGACAGGCTTACAGGGGTCCGGGGGGCACGCAGGCATAGAGTGGGAGAAAGAAAAGGGGTAGAGAAAGAGAGATTCTCACCTCAGAACTAGGATGGGAGGCGGGAGTAAAAAAAAGGGGAGGGCATTATGGTGTGTAGCCTTGGAGGTAAAACATAGCCAGTTGGAGAATGAGAGACGCCAGTGATTGAAGGGGGATGACATATTGATGATCTTGGGAGCAGGCTAGCCTTAGTTTAGCTGAGACTGGCGGCTAAATCCTAGTTCGACTTTCTTCTTTATTGGAGCGTGTCTGTGACTATCCGTGACTGTAGGTGGAGATGGCAAGATCTACATTTAAAAAAAAAAAAAAATGATGATGGTGCCAGGTCTGAGGATGGGCGTCCCCTGCCTCCAGTCCCTCTCGGGGACAGTTCAAACTGCCCCCGCCCCCCGCAGAACAACCCGCGGCCGCGGTTCCAAGGTCAGGGACCAGCGCTGCGCGCGGAGGGCGGAAGGATGAGCAGGGCCGGGCGAGCAGCCCAGCTGGGGTGAGGAAGGATGGTGGTGGACCCCAGGCGCTCATCTTAAGGGCAAAGAGAGGGTTTAACACTCCCCCTGGTCGCTTCCCCCCCTCCCCCCCCTCCCGGCAATAAGTTCAAAGGAAAGCAAGCAAACGAAACTACAATGACACGTGCGAACATGCAAATGAAACAAACCCAAAGGAAAAAAAAAAAAAAAACACCACCGCACTCGGGGGCGCTCCGATCGGGGGAAATCCACGGCCTCCTGTTGCCAGTCGCCAGGCGAGGGGAGCCCACAGACAGCCTGGCAGCCGCCGGGAGGAGCAAAGAGCGGAAAAGCGAACTGTGCGGGAACCCGCTTCTCAGTCCGGCAACGCCGACCCTTCCTCCGAGCCGTCCCTCCAGGGAAAGGAGAGAGAGAGAGAAAAAAAATAAAAAATAAAAATGCCCGTGCAAAGGTGCCTCGGCGGGCTGGAGGGGAGGGAGGTTGGGAGGAAGGGAGGACCTGGGGGAGCTAAGCTGTCCCGGGGAGCAGGAAGGAAGGACAAAGTCTTTCTTTCAGCCCCGCGCGCCCCCGGCGAGGAGAGCGAGGGACAAACTAGTCCTGCAGGCTGCGTCCAGCTTCCTAGACAGGAACCTTTTACCAGGGGCATCGGGAGGACGACCCCACCTTCCTTCCCCCCCTCCCCACGCCCTCGCGGTCCGGGGGTCCCCGCCGGCCAGACGGGAGAGCCCGCGCCGGCGAGGCCGGCCGCGAACCGATTGTCCCGCCACCGCCGCCGCCGCCCTCGCCTCTGTCTGCGTCGGGGCAGCGGTGGACCCACTAGGGGCGGAGTGGGCGAGACCATTGGAAGCGCTGGGCGGGGGTGGGGGGGGGAGGATACGGTGCTGGGGCGAGGGGCGGGGCCTACTAACCCATTCCAGATTTTCCTGTCCCTTTTAGAGCTCTGCTTTGGGAGAAACCCGTTATCAAAGTGGAAAGAAGAGATTTTTTTTTTTTTTTTCCTGAAAGGGGTGGAGCGTGCGGAGAGGGGAGTGGGGCGGCAGGAGGCGCGGCCGGCAGTCGGGGATCAGACGGGAGCCGGAGTTGCGTGGGGCGGGCGGACCGGCTGGCCGGCGGGTTCCAGCGGCCGCTCGGGGGTCGGCTTCCTCTCCCCTCCCGCGCGGACGGGGTGGTGCGTTCCGAGTTCTCAGGAGTTCGGAGCGGGCGGGCGGGAGCGGGGGGGGCGGGGAGCGGCGGCGGCGGCGGCGGCGGGCGGCTCCCGCCTCAGCCTGGGCAGTGGGGTCGGAGGCGGCGGCCGTGTGGAGGCAGCCGCGAGCGCTCGGCGGCGCAGTGTCCGCCGGCGGCCGGGGCTGGACAACTAGGAGTTAGGAGGGAGGGAGGCGCGCGCGCCCGACCTTCCGCCGCCGCAGCCGCCGCCCGGAGCCGGAGGCGCCGGGTCCCGGGCAGCCAGAGGGGGCGGGCGGGCCGGCGGGCCGGGGGGAGGGTGGGGAATGGCGCGGACCCCGGGGCCGGCTCCGCTGTGTCCCGGAGGCGGCAAAGCACAACTTTCCCTCGCTGCTCCCCCCGGGGCCGCGCTCCTGCTGCCGCCCCCGACGCCGCCGCCGCTGCTGCTGCTGCTCTTCCCGTTGCTGCTCTTCTCCCGGCTCTGCGGTAGGTGGACCTGGGCGGCGGCGGGGCTGAGGGAGGCGCGGCCGGGGGTCCCGGCGCCGCGGCCGGGCCCGCGCGGGCGGCTCTGCGGAGCGAGCGGCCAGGCGGTTGCGCTGGGCGGTTGGTTGGCTGCGCGAGCGGGCGCGGCGGACTTTGGCTGGAAACTTTCCGCCGCCGCCGCCGCGCCCGGGGCGAGGCCCGGGGAGGGCCGGCTGGGCCCGCGAGGGTGACGCCGGCCGGGCCCCCCGGTCCCTCCGCGCTCATGGCCAGGCTCGGGCGGCGCTGCTTTCTGCCCGGATTCCACCGAGTGTGTGTATGTGTGCTCCCGGGACCGTTACTTCCTCGCTTATTTCGAGCCGGAAACCGAGAGCGCGGACTTCGGGGCTGGGGCTGGGGGCTGGGGTGCCGGGATGCACGTTGACCGCCGCCTTTTTCTCCACCCCGGTGAAACTTGAGCTGTGATCCCGGATACCTTTTAGGGACCAGGGTCCGACGGAATGAAGCCTTCAGGTCCATCTCTCTCCCCGCCTTCCGCCCGGGAGGAGAAGGCATGCTGGTTGCATCCTTTGAGCCCACCCTGCAACAGCATCCCCTACAGTCCGGGGTGCTTCCGTCCTTCCACCGGCCCGGTTCGGTTCTGCCCTGCCCGCCCGCCTGCCTGCCTGCCTGCAGGATGGCTTTGTATTGAGCCAGTCGCTGCCTTCGTTCGTGGGACTTCTCTCACAACTGTCAGTGCTTATTCTGCAAACACGATCTGTCCTCAGGGCTTTGATGTATGTGTTCATATGGCATCCACTGAGCTCGCCTCCTGCGATCACAACAAAACACCATGCCTCTTCCTCATCTCTTCCCCCTCGTGCTTATAGTACAGTTTTCCTGTCACATTGGGAAGCTATTCTGCTTGTAAGTTCCGTCTCCTAGATGTGGGAAACTAGAAGCCTGCTTGTTGAGGACCCTGTAAGAAATGCCTTTCATGCAACAGGGATGGACCTAAGTGATCATTAATAGAAGGTGATGATTTGGCAAAATACGGCCACCCAGTCTTTGGGGGATCAGCTGTATCTGTCCTTTGGCAATAACCATAACACTGCAGGACTTAATTCATTCAAAGACTCTTCCTTGGGGAGCAAGGTGGAGAAGCAAAAATGACGTTTGCCCAAAAATTGGTTTACCCAAGACTTTTTTTTTTTTTTTTTTTTTTTTACTAGTTCCATAAGGCTGCTGCTGTTGGATCTCAGTATGTAATGCAATGTTAAATGAAACCATTATAAGTTTTAGCAGTACTTATTGAAAGGAAAGATTTGTGGGGGTTTCTTGGATATTATGACTGAGAAGAAGGAGAATCCTTGTTCCGGGCAGGTGTTGTCAAGGTGGTTGGTTATGAGGGAGGTAAAGTTTTCAAGAGATTGTCTGCCTCTTACAGGCTTAGCGTTCCCACCAGCCAGCAGCTCCCCACCACATTTCAAGCCCTGTAATGAGAGTTTGCGACTTACAGAGTATACGCTGATAAATGGTATTCTGTCTAATCTACAGTGTGTTTGCAGCCCCACTCTACAGAGGTTTGGTTCCATCACCCAGTTCTCAACCTCTTTAAGTTGATGCAGGATTCTAGGTTGAATTTGTACTGCTCTTTTCTATCAAGGAGGACTGTGGATTACAGTTGGGTGGGAGAAAAGTGTTAACAGTTTTACTGTCTTTACTTAGATTGTGTTAAGGACTGAGAGGATATTATTTGTACCTCCAGTAAAAGCTTATCTAGCTAGGTAAAAGCCCTATGAAGGCTGAACCTAGATAACATGCACAGCTAATACAAGGAAATAAAATTTGGGTAATGATTTCACATTTGTGCAAGTGAAGTGTTTGCTTTCTGAAGGAACACATTGGTTTTCTCATGAGAGAAGAAAAGAGGTTTTTAAAAATCTGTTTTATAATGTGCTATAGAAAGACTTGATATTTTAGAGTCCTAAAAATCCAAGCAGTGTAGGCACGTGGACTGTGATTTAGAAATGTAAAATGAAGTTTTAGAGTCAACTCTGCTTATAGTTGTAGAGGCAGACACTAGTTTTGTGTTCCTGTGCACTGCTCATTTTAAGAGTTTCCTTTTTTGGCTTATAGTGTTACAACACCCTAATTTGTGAACCCTTATGATTTTTTTCTGTCAACCTTTATTTTAAATTCAGTCTGACTAGGGCACAGCTCTGATGTATGGATGCTTAATAACTATGGGATCAGAATTTTCTTCATATAACCTGTTTGTTGATCAAACATTCCTCTACTGCTTATAAAAGGTTTAGCATGTAATAATGTTTGAGAGTTTAGTTTCAGAGTTGAGAAACTTTTTAGGCCTTAAAGAGATGTCTATGTCTATCTGATGACTTTTCTTAACAGAATGCTTTATTTTTTATAATGCACAGATCTTTTTTCATTTTGCTGATGTTTTGATATGTGGTTTACATTTTACATAGTCTTATGCTCAACTTCTGCAATACCATCTTTAGTACAAGGTTAATTTTCATATCATGTTCATCTGACTGCTAAAAAGAATCCTTACAACTGGTAGATTCAATATTCTGAAAGCTATAAAAATCACATCGGATTTGCTGTTTGGGGATACACATTAACTATCTTATTTGAAGAACTGAACTTTTTAAGTGAGAATTTTGCAGGTTGACAAACTGCCAGGTTTTGATATATTTTTAAGCCTAACAAATTCCCAGGTATAAAGGGTAAGGAAACTAGATTTACAATACCATTTGACTTGAGAAACCTCATTTATTTAATTCTGGAATTTCATGTTTCTTTATGATCAATTCATCATAGGTGGTCAGATTTATCTCACTTTTTTCCCCAACATTTTTCTTGAGATGTAGAGTATTAGCAGGGATATAGTATTAATGAAAAAGAAGCTATACTATTTGACCTTAATTCATAATTTCCTATTTGAATCTAGGATTTTACTATTTCCACTTTCAGTAAGGTTTTATCTCAAGATCATGTTTTGAAGATTATAGAAAAGCTCTAATATGATGTAGAACCCCTAACAGCACTTTCAGTACTTTTTATATTCCTGGCAGTTAGCAGGTTCTTGGGGGTATAAAACATGAATAAAGCAGAATCCTGGCTTCAAGGATTTCATAGCATTGTGATAGACATAGGGAAATAGATGATTATAGGACAGTTTGGAGTTTATGAAAGAAATCTTCATGAGGTACTATCTATGCCCAGAAGAGGGATACCTAACCCATTAGATAAAGATATATGAATGTAACTGAGGGCGTGGTGGGGGTGGAGGCAGAGAGACTACTTTAAAAAATAAGTTGAGTCAAATATTCTTATTGAAGTTAGACGCTGTGGTAGATAGTACAGTTTTGTTCTTTATCTTTATCTCTTCTCTGCTGTTGATGGTTTAGATACTAAATAATTTGATTCTGAAAAAAGACTGCCACTTAATAGATGTGTGAGTCTTTGGCAAGTTATTTAACCTCAGTAAACTTAAGGTTTCTCATCTTTTAAAATAATGGGTTTCTGGTCTTTAAAAAAAAAAATGGATAATATCACCTTACCTATAGAGTTCTTGTGAAGATTAAATGAAAGAATAAAACATTTAGCAGAGTGCATACAATATAGTAAACATTTAAATGTTAATCATTTAGTGTATTGCACATTATAGCCAACCAGCCTGGTATTTGTCATTCTTAAATTCTACCAGGATATCTTGAATAATTGAGTTTTTAAGTTCAGTGACGTGTATTTGACATCAATATTTTAAGTGTATAGTTCAGTCACTACTTTTTGGATATCTGTTAAATTTACTTCAAATAAATGTACAGATGACCAATTTTCAGAATATTGGGATATGGTGAAATCCACTGTGTAATTATATGAAACCTAATTGAATCTTCCCGTCATGATGTAGAATGCATTTTAGGACTTGGTAGTTCCATAGAGTCACTTAGAATATTAGTGATTATGTTGAAAATGTGGAGTTGAAGAGTAGAGTGTCAACTTCACTTATACTTTACCTTATTATATCAGTTTAGGGCCTACGATTAATATTGAATGTACGAATCTTTCTGTATCCTGAACAGATATAATTGAAAAATGAACTAAACTTAAAAGCAAGCAAAAAAGATAAAACATTTTCTTGTGTTTAGCTACAGCATCAGAAATAAGAATTGGAAAATAGATTCATGTGTGTGTGTGTATTAACTTGTGTATGTCACTTATGTTTACATATATTTTTCACACATGATTTAGTGACTTGGCAACTCTGATGTACATTTTGTATCTGTATAATTAGAGGAATAAAATTTAATGTTTTTTGAATATTTGAAAATTATTGAAGAGTTGTTTGGTAAATTAATGTTTTGACATTCTGAAATTTACTCCTTAAAAATTAGTGAGTAAATAATATATTGTTCTAGCATATTCTGTAACCTATTAAAGTCTTCATAAAAATTGAGAAGAACTATATGGTTTCCAAAAGATGCAGTATTTAATCAATATTATTAATATGAAATCAAATAACCTTTAAGTTAGTAATGGAATAAATGCTAAAGATGGTTCTGTGTGCCAAGCACTCAGACCCAAAAGTCTTTAAACAATTAATGTTGACTTTTGATTACCTTTTATCTAAAATTGTAAAGTCTTGAACCTGTATTCTCTCCAGAATTTTTTTTAAAAAGTATGATTTTTATAATAGGCTTTGACATAGTTTAGTCATATATTTAAATAAAGTTTCTTGTGAATCTTTATTAAGGGTAAACTTTTCCTAAGTGACTCACTTCTTATACTATAGATCACTCTTTTAACATTTTATTAAGAGCTGCCTCTTATGAACCTAGATACATGCTATATTTGGAGGTACCGTAATTGCGTTAGAAAGGATATTTATTGCATACTTACATTGTGAATTTTCAGCATCTGGAGAGATTGTTTTTTTCTTATAACCCTATTGACTATCCAACATTCATTTTGCTAATTAAGATGAGTAGGAAAGAGCT